ACGTTCTATTAACTATAAGTAACTTTGTAACTATATGTCAACTACATGTCAACTAATTCTCAGAGTAGACTGTTAGGGTAGGTTTAGGGTTAGTAGAATAAGTTGACAAAGAAAGTGTTAGAAGATATTAAGCAGACATTCTACTAATACTCTACTAACTGCTAGTTGACATGTAGTTGCAAAGTTACTTACTGTTAATAGAATGTCTAAAGTGGACTATCGAAATAAAGTGTTACCATATTTTCTATAAAAAAACAATTTGCGGGCCAGTTGTTGCTTATTTCTTTTCCTTCTTCATTTAAGGGGTTAGTTCACCCAAAAATGAAAATTCGCCCATGAATTACTCACCCTCAAGGCATCCTAGGTTTATATGACTTTCTTGCTCACCAAAGCTACATTTAATAAAAAATACAGTAAAAACAGTAATATTGTGAAAACTTACAACTTAAAACTTATAACTTATTCTACTGTAAAATATTTTTCATGTATTTTATTTTTGTCATGGTGAAACTGAAATTTCAGTATCATTACTCTAGTCTTCAGTGTCACATGATCCATACTAGAAATCATTCTAATATGCTGATTTGCTGCATAATAAACATGTCTTATTATTATTAAAGGGGACATATCATGAAAATCTGACTTTTCCAGGTTTTAAGTGCTATAATCAGGTCCCCGGTGCATCTACCAACCAAGGAAACGTAAAAAAGATTTTTAAAAAAAATTTATTTATTTATTTAGTTGACAGGGATATTGTACATTAATAAAACATTCCTGTAAATGTACCAGAATTAGCCAAGGCTATTTTACATCCGTAGTCCCTGGACAAGATGTTACAAGTCACCCTAAAATAAAATGTAATTAAAAATACATACTAAAAAATGTTATAATTACATAGTTCAAATCATACAGTATTCTATTAAAAAACAATGGGATCAAATAAAGACAATGCAAACAAGATACAATCAATAATAGGATAGCTAGCAAATATAAAATTCTAGTGTTGACAAATCTGAGTATGAATTAACCAATTCTTCAACTGAACCCTAAATAAAGCATATGTGTCTAGATCTCGTATAGTTGTCGGAATAGTATTCCATTCTCGTGCAGCTTTAACAGAAAAAGCAGACTGACTAAAATTACTTCGTCTAAGCGGTATGATACAATCTCCTCTTAATGCACCTCTTGTAGAACGATAATCAGTTGTTCTAATACTAACTAACTGACTAAGAGGAGGAGAAGATAAACCATAAATAATTTTATACATCAAGCATACATTTGCATACTTAATCATATTTTCCCAACTTAAATTATATTTTTTCAGTATTAGACAATGATGATAATGCACCGATTTCTTATCAAAGACTTTAAGTGTACGTTTGTATAAGGACTCTAATGGTTTTAGAGTCACTGAACTCACCTGAGACCAGGTGGTTAAACAGTAAGTCATGTGAGAAATAACCATAGAATACATATACATCTTAGCTGCCTCTAATGACATATAATCTCTAATAAATTTAAAATTATAGAGATTAAACTTAACCTGCTTACAAACCTTTTTAACTTGAGCTTTAAATGTAAGTTTAGAATCAATCAGGATTCCCATTAAATTATATTGAGGCACTACCTGCAGCCTCACCCCTGACACGTAAACATCTGGCTCTTTAATAATACTGTTAGACTTAGAGAAAAACATACATACTGTCTTGGACACATTTAGTTGTAAGCAATTCTCTTTTAGCCATGCTGGCACATTAACCATAGAATTCGTGAGTTCATTTGCAACTTGTACTAGACTATTACCATGTATATAAATTACTGTATCGTCCGCATACATTTGTATATTAATGCCAGGACATGCAAGATGAAAATCATTTATATATATAGCAAAAAGCAATGGACCCAAGATAGATCCTTGCGGAACACCAGTTGATGTACCTAAATCATTGGATTGGTGATTTTGTACTCTGTCACACTGAAATCTATCTGATAGATATGACTCTATCCAGTTAAGTGTATGTAATGAGAAATTAAAACAAGATAGCTTAGACATAAGGATTCTATGATTAACGGTGTCAAAGGCTTTCTTTAAATCAAGGAACACTGCTCCAACTACACCACCTTTATCTAAGAAAGTTTTAATATTTTCTATAAAAAAACAATTTGCGGTTTCCGTTGAGTATTTTGCTCTAAAACCAAACTGCATTGGATGCAATGAAAATAAACTACTACTCAAGTAACTGCTTATCTGTTTTGCAACTAATTTCTCCATAACCTTAGAAACAGTGGGTAAAATACTAATTGGCCTATAATTATCAATAGAAAGGGAATCTCCACTTTTGAATATTGGAACAACAATCGCCGACTTCCAAACACTTGGGAATTTTCCCAAGTGTTTTGGGAAACACTTTTTGTTTTTTCATATCATACAATATTGATAATTACCACAATATTGCTTTGCAATAGGGAATGAAATGCTTTCACAAAGTCGTTTGCACCGCGCTCTTTTGTCACTTAATATTTTATTTTGGTGTGTTAATCTATTAAATTAATTAGTATATAAAACCATGATCATGAATGAAATGCTTTCCACGTGTTTGTTAACCCTTCAGAATGAATGTAAACATAACTTGTTTGTTCACAAGTAAACTCCACAGAGTAGCTACTTTTTAATTTATGCAACCATGAAATCCATTTTATTTTGCCCTAAATTCCGTTTTGGGTGTTACAGTTCATCAGTCCAAAAGAAGTGAAATAAAGCACATCCATAATAAAAAGTGCCTCACACGGCTCCAGGGGGTGAACAAAGGCCTCTTGTAGTGAATCGATGCGTTTTTGTAAGAAAAATAACCATATTTAAAACGTAATAATCAATTTAATCTAGCTTGCACTCACTGTTGTACACTGTCAATTTGTCAATTGTCAATATTTAATTTAACTCCGATTGGATTCATCTGAAAGAAGGAAGTCATATACGCCTAGGATGGTTTGAGGGTGAGTAAATAAAGGGCTAATTTTCATTTTTGGGTGAACTATTCCTTTAACAAAAATGTGTCCCATCATTATTGGAAAAAAAACCCCCTGCTCCTGTGCCCACTGTCCTGCAAAATTTAGCTCCAGCCTTAATCAAACACACCTGACCCCGCCAATCAAGCTCAGGCCAGGTGAGCTGAAGCAGGTTGGAAATAAACTTTGCAGGACAGTGGGTCCCCAGGAGCAGGGTTGAAGACCTTTAATTTATTATATCAACCAAACATATTGATGAAACCCAACAGCTGTCACTGAGGTCAACAGAAGGTATAAACCAACAAGTCCTCCAGTTTTCCCACAAACAGATAGATAATGAAGGGAGGACACTCATTGACTCCAAAGGATCACACAACACAGTCAATTCCAAACAATATAGGAAGAGTGTATTCTCCTGGAGTGCAGGAATGCAATATACATGACAGTGTATGTATATATATATGTATATGTATATGTGATGTATGGTACATAGCAGCTACAAACTAGCAAGGAGAGCAGTGCCATCAGTTAAAATTATCTTCATAAACATGTGAAGTACAGTATGAGAGGGTGAAGTCAAGTGGTCAAAGCTGTGGACTGGTTGCCGGAAGGTTGTAGGTTCGAGCCTTTCAAGGGGCAATCACTGAGTTATCGGCACTGAGCAAAACACTTACTGGTCCTGTTTGAAATGATGCTCACTTGCTTGTGTCTGTACAATCTCAGAAAAAAAAAAAATGTGCAAAAATGTTTTATCCCTTTTGGGATACAGCAGCCTTTAGGGATATAATCTTCAAAGAGGCAACTTACCTAATTTACCCCTAAAAGGTTCGTAGTAGTATCTTTAGAGTACATATTACTACTCTAAAGTATTAAAATGCACCTTTTAGGGGTAGATAAGGTCCAAAGTTGTCCCTTTAAGGGTATTGCCCCAATGAGAAGTTCATAAGGATATAAAGCAGGGGCATCCGATCCTGTTCCTGGAGGGCCACCTTCCTGCACATTTTAAATCCAACCCCAATTAAACACACCTGAACCAGCTAATCAAGGTCTTCGGGATCACTAGAAACATCCAGGCAGGTGAGCTGGAGCTAAACTTTACAAGAAAGTAGCCCTATAGGAGCAGGATTGGACACCCCTGCTATAGAGTGACCAATTTGTTATTTAATGGTTCACAAGGGTGCTCGAGTGCAGGTATCTATGTATTCATGGCAAAAGGAAGCACCTTCAGTGCTTTTGCTGAGCTAGCATTGCTGCAGACTTACAGCATTACGGCACAGTGCCAACCTCAGGTTACTCCAGGGACACTAAATCTGTAACTCAACACCGTGTCCTAACCTGAGATTGTGACAAGCATTTTGCGCATTTGAGTAGACACTGAAATATAATTGGTCCAAATTATACAGTAATTCTACACAGCTGCATATTGAACATTAAAGATTAAAATATGTTCTGATTGCGTTGTGACAAATTACTTGTCATTGGAAAATTGTGTTGCACCAAGTTAGGAAACAAAGTGCTGTAACACACAGTTTTCTGTTGATGTGAGAACGTTAACTTAATCAAAAACAGTTTCTTTATGTGTCTTTTTCATCTCGTTTTCATTACCAATGATAAAAACTCCCAAAAAAACTTTATCCATGAACATTTTCTTCAGTAATTTTGTTGAAGGATTCACAATGATGCAGACAAACCAACATACATTTTGGCAATTTGGTGGCTAATCTCATTTGTACATTTTCGAATAATATGCTCGTGGTACGTCTTTGGGAAGTTTGTTTTTACAAGCTGAGAATAAGTAATTAAGATATCAGGTGCATTCAACCCTAGTGAAAAATAAATATACTAAAATATATTTTAAATACATTTATTTCATGCTAAGTGTGCTACAAATGCATTTAGATATTTATGTACTTAAAAAAAAAACGCTGCAATTGTACTTTTAGTATACTAAACTGGTATACTAAAGTCTGCTAAATTGGAACAGCTAATTTTGCACTTAATGCGCTTTAATTTTGCGGAAGTAGTGCTGAGGTCCAACTAAAGATATTCTGAAGTATATTTGATTGTGTTAAAGTGGAACTATTGCAAGTATACTTCAGGTACACTTTAAATATCTTGCATTTAAAGGCCGATATTATTCAAAGATCATACAATCCTCATCAATAGTGACATTAAAACACATTTTAGGCTTAATATTAAGAAATGTGCATTGTGCACAAGTAGTACTCCAAATAAAGTTTAATGAAAATGTTTACATCAGTCTCGAGCGATATGTCAGTAAATATGCTAATAGCTTTGAACTATACTTAGTGTGAAATAAATTTTTTTTAAATATATTTTTTACTAGGGAAGTCACTCTGGCCTTTATAGCTCTACTTCTACAAAATGATGAATGAAGAATGCGCATCAGGTGTGTTTTTGCTTTTTTATGTTTTTATTAAATTTATGAAGGTGCTGTAAACTCAATCGTTATATATTCTAATTGTACAGTATCGTAATTCTACAATACTATTGTATTTTGCACATGCAACTTAGCTTAGTTTTATTGTAAATAAAATAAAAAATCATTCTTTTTATCAAATTTACTGTAGTTACAGACACTGCACATATTTTCTCACTGACAAACCCCCAACTCAGAAACACAGGGCTTGTTCGTGTGCATTCAACATGTGAATACAATATTTCTGAAATGACTTGAACGCCCCATTCGTGGTTAGGTTTAGGGGTGGACCAACATGCTTACATTTTTCATACGTTTCTGTACGAATCACATCGTTTGAATTCATACAAAATCGCCACTTCATAAAATAGTTACATTTCCTCATGAGGTCGTGGTGAAATGAACAATAAATCATTATTTTAGGGTGCAGCAAAGTTCAGTTAAATCTCAGAAGCATCCATAGGGGCGTTTCTACATTACTTGCCGTTTGTCCCACTAGAGACTATCGGTTAGCGACTCCTCCGGATAACACCGGTGGTTATCTCCTCTCTGTTAAACACATCAGAGCATGTGTTCTGCCTCGTCTTTGCGATTTACAGACCCTGAAGAGCGGTGACTTTAGTCGAGTCAATATTTATCAAGTGGAGTAGTCAAGGGCAGATCCTGCTCAAATCCTTTTATATCGCCCTTGAGGGAGGTGCCAGGAAGTCTTAAAACTACCTTCGACAGGATGTTTCCTTTTAAACAGCAACATGTGCTCTGATCTCTTCATGTCTCAATAACAGAGTGCGTGTTTTGTCTGCACCTGTCTGTTTGAGTGTGTTTTGGGTTGTTTCTGAACACTTGTATACAGTTTGCTGTGGCTTGTTATGTCTGGGTTCTTTGAAAGGACGTAATGTCTTTTTCTTCTGTGTTTCAGATCTTCGAGAATAAAGGAGCCATGATGGGCTGTTCAAACCCCCATCCTCACTGTCAGGTACGCCGTCACCTTGTTATTCCATTGATGTACCCTTTTTTTTTAGCCCTCCTCCTGCCAATTAGCGTTTGCCCCTGTCGGCTCGGAGGCAGAGAGCCATAAAATTCTATTGTGTGGATTAAGACGTATCCGCTGCAGTCTTCGACCATCTGGAATACTCTTTTTTTTTTAAAAATTTTTTTAAGGCTGGAATAGGTCTTTAACTGTCACCTCAGTGGAGAGACTGCTGATGAGACAGGGCTAATGCAAGCAGGAGCTTAAAAAGCATGTAGACTCCAATTAGGGAACTAGAGAGATGTTCCAGGGAAAGCCGTCTTCCCGCTCGAAAATTACTCTTGCCTCTCGCTCTTAGAGGCGAGCGGGTTAGTCTTGTGGGGATTCCGGGATTTTTTTTTTTTAAAGAGGAGGTCGCTGGGATGGCAATGGGTTGGAAAACGTTGCTGCTTTTATCAGTTTGATAGCATTCGGTGTAAATTATGTGTTTTGTTGACATCTTCATGCTTCCGCTCTGACTCTTGCCTCTCGCTCTTAGAGGCGAGCGGGTTAGTCTTGTGGGGATTCCGGGATTTTTTTTTTTTAAAGAGGAGGTCGCTGGGATGGCAATGGGGTGGAAAACGTCGCTGCTTTTATCAGTTTGATAGCATTCGGTGTAAATGATGTGTTTTGTTGACATCTTCATGCTTCCGCTCTGACTCCGAGCAACAAGGAACTTCTGTTTCCTCTCGTTTCCTTTTTTCAGGCTGTCTGTCTTACCCTTGTTTCTTCTAAGCGCAGGAAGCCTGTCACTGTCGTGCCGTGACAGCACAGCAAGCCAAACTCTCTGGGTTGGCCGCACACTGAGCTCCCTCTCACTGAATTAATTAAGTGTTTATGGCTGTGTGTTCCACTAGGGGGCAGTAGAGGATTTTCAGATGGATTGACAGACAGTAGTAAGCTCTGTTTAAAGAAGCTGTCACAAACCACTCATATTTTCCATATAATACTTTCTTTATAAAACCACACCTGAAGAATGAAGGGTTAACGGTCATACCATAGATTTAAGGTTTACCATTTATTTTTTTAGCCTCATCACATCTGATCTCTGGTGCCGATGCACTGTATAGTGAACTAACTTGTTAAGTTCTGATTGATATGGTTTAGTTGGCCGGAGAAAGTGAACTTTTTCTGCAGTTGCAGGAAATTTCATTTTTGTAATGCAGCAACAAAAATAAATGCAGTGCTATTATCATTAACAGAAACTAAAAGAAAACTGAATGCAAATATTTTTGTTAGTTGAAAGAAAAAAAAAATAATGTAACAAAAAGCCTAAAAGTAAACTATAAATACATTTTTATGACTCTAACTTGTAGTTTTTGATACATGGTATATTATAAAACTTGAAAACTTAACAATCCACCTGCATTAAATGAAATCTAACTAGATAGCAATAGTGTTATTTAGTATAATTTATATACTATTTTAGTATTATTTATATTTTGAATTAGCTTTTATTTTTATATTTTCAGTTTCATATTAATTTTAGTGTAATTTTTAGTCATTCTGTTATGTGCCTTTTTCATTTTGTTTATATATATTCTACGCAGCTTTAATACATTTTTATTTCAGTTTTATTAAATTCATTTTACTAGCTTATTTTTTTAGCTTATTTTATATAAACTTATTTCATTTCAGTTAGTTACCAAGGCAACATTTCTAATTTTCATGTAAGTTCATGTATGTTTTTCATCTTATATTTATATTTTATTTCATTAACAAAATAGTTTTTAATAGTTTTAGTTCTAGTGTGAGCAGCAATAACAATAAGATTGTGCTAAATAACTTATTAACTTAATTAACATATTTAATTGTGCCAGTTTAATTTAGCTTAAACATTGATATCCCTGAAAATACTAACATAATAATGAAACAAAAATTAAAGTAAATAGAAAAATAAACTGAAACTGAAACCCTAAAAATAATGATTTAAAAAAAATTAAGCTAAATCAAAAGCACAAATTCTAAATGGTACTAAAAACTAGATTACAAATCCATTCCAGCCAAATTGTACTGCAATTTGTCTGCACATTAAACTGGGGTAGGACAAAATATTTGAACACTGAACAAATTACAGGTGGATTTTTTATTTATTTTTTATATATACTAAATGTTAATAGACCCTTTAGCAGCACCACATTAGACTAGATTCATCCATGCATCATACTGTCATTATGACTGCACATCCACCCTGCGTCCCAGTATGTGCTGGACGTGACATCAATCATTGACCTCGAAGATAAATCAACCTCCCAGCATACACAGCTCAGCCCAGATAGAATCAGCCGTAAGCCGCTCTTAAGTTTCTCATATGATTTTATCAATGGACGCAGCTGAATATGAGTAAATAAATCCCCCTCCCTGTCCGTGTGTGTGGCCCTGTGGAGAGACTGGAGCTCTGTGTGGCTTAGGTCTATGTTAGCCAGCAGGAGTTGAGCTTTACCCAGCATGCCTTGGGAGAGATGGATAAGCCACGTGTATCCGGCTGCCCACCTTCTCTAGGATGAGAGTATTTGCAGAGAGAGCGATATATATAGCAGGCTGGCTGTGTTGATCTGTGTCTTTTTCTCTCTATCTGTCCCATGCTTTCTCATATCATCCGTAACCACCCACCCCTGAACAAACACAAAACATCAGCTCTCAAAACAGAGACTCATCCGTCTCTTGAAACGATTATCGTGCTGCTGTTTTGTGAAATTGAAAACACTGTATCTCAGGGTCTTTTCACACTTTTTGGCTCATTTCAGGGCTCGTATGAATTTTAGCTTATATGTGAATGGTCAAAATGGACTCGGATACTTTAATTTAATAGTTCACCCAAAAATTAAAATCTACTGAAAATGTCCTCACCCTCAGGCCATCCAAGATGTAGATGAGTTTGTTTCTTGATTTGGAGAAATATAGCATTACGTCACTTGATGACCAATGGATGCTCTGCAGTGAATGGGTGCCGTCAGAATGAGAGTCCAAACAGCTGATAAAAACATCACAATAATCCACAAGTAATCCACACCACTCCAGTCCATCAGTTAATGTCTTGAGAAGACAAAAGCTGCGTGTTTGTAAGAAACAAATCCATCATTAAAGCATTTTTAACTTCAAACTTCTTCTGCTTCTAGCTAAAATATGAGTCCTGTATCCAATAATATTGCTTTCTCCAGTGAAAAGTTCATCTTGTCTGAATCAGGAGAGATATATGCTCAGATCAAGCACCGTTTACAAGCCAAAACAGTCAAAAACAGTTCAAAACAAATTTGTCAGTGGTTTTTTGATGTGAGAGGACAATAGGAGATGGACTTTTTCGTTGGAGAAAGCATTATTATGGATTATAAACTCATATTTTGGCCAGGGGCTGGGTTCCACAAAAAAGTGTGAGTGGCAAATTAACTTACACCGTGCCACAGCTAAATGGACCTAAAAAAAAAATCTGAATATCTGAAATATCTCTTTTAAGGTCAAGAATGGTGTAAATTAACTTTTTGGTTGTTTAAGGGCCGGTCACACTGCACTTTGCACTCCTTTGATTTCCATTCATATGCATGTTAATGCGGGAGACAGGAAATGCAAGCTTATTTCACTGCATTCCAAAGTTCAAGTTTGGTGAACTCTGACCTACGAATTTGGAGAAATTGCACTCAAAAACCAATGATAACTGCAGTACAAGATTATGAGATGTATTATTTGAATGCTTGGCTAATGAGATGTCTTTAATCTAGATTTAAACAGAGAGAGTGTGTCTGAACCCCGAACATTATCAGGAAGGCTATTCCAGAGTTTGGGAGCCAAATGCGAAAAAGCTCTACCTCCTTTAGTGGACTTTGCTATCCTAGGTACTACCAAAAGTCCAGAGTTTTGCGACCTTAGGGGGCGTGATGGATTGTAGCGTGGTAGAAGACTAGTTAGGTACGCAGGAGCTAACCCATTAAGGGCCTTATAGGTAAGTAATAATATTTTGTAACTAATACGGAACTTAATTACCCCTCCAGACCCCTTTAAACCAAACTGAATTTAGACTGCCTCAGAAGGTGTCTGCATGTAGTTTACTTTTAGTTACTCAGGTTAACTTTTAGTCACTTTTAGGTTAATAATAGACTTATAACATATAATATGAACACAAACCAGCTTCACTTTATTTATTTTTAAATTTTATATTCTATAGAAAATACAGGTTATATATTTTTATCATTTCCATATTAAAGTACTGACATGCATGATCGGCAGATCCGTAGATAGAATTATTTAGAGTATTTAATACTGTTTAAACGTTTGAGGTCAGTACAATTTTTTCTTTATGTTTTTGAAAGAAGATTCTTATGTTTACTAAGGCTGCATTTATTTGATCGAAAACAGATAAAATAGTAATGTTTTTTTGTTTTTATTTATTTTTTAAATATCTTTAAATGTAAAATAGCTGTTTTCTATTTGAATATATTTCCAAATGTAATTTATTCCTGAGATGTAAAGCTGAATTTTCAGCATCATTACTCCAGTCTTCAGTGTCACATGATCCAGATGATTTGATGTTTTGTGTCGGGTGGTTCTTTGCCTCCACATTTGTGCATTACAATCTTTTAATGCACTGCTAGCCATGGTTTATCCTGCTTATATCATGGTCATTTGCCGGCACTGACAACTTAATTAAAGCTGTCAATGATGTTTGCAGCGCAATATGACGTTTATTTTTGTTATGGCTCTTTAGATCTAGCATTCTGCCTGCTTCAAATCAGACACCAAGATGAAGTAGAGCAGTAAGATCACGGAAAATATTAGAGGTTTTGAAACCGTGACATTTTCAAATCGCGGTATACCTTGAAACCGGTAATCGGCCCATGCCTAGTTAAGAATAGACATTTGAAAACTCTAGAGAACTGTAGCCTTCCCGGTATCGCCTGCGGGTCAGGCCTGAAAATCATAGCGCCACACGCTTCTGTTTAATATCTCTGATGTTGTCCCTGCTAGCATATTTA